AGCTATTCTACATAAATATAATTCATATTATCTTATTCATAAAAATACTCTTCTCTTATCTAATGATATTCATCTATCTTATGGTGATAAGCTACGTGCTGTAGAACAGTAAATATGTTTTGTTTGATTTGAGAAATGTATTTTTTACTTTTGTGATAGTATGGAAAATGAATTACATGACTATTTATTTTATTATCCTCAAAATGTGTCACATTTCTTATGGTTGTATAAAACTTCTGAATTTCTTTATTGTAATCGTGAATTAGCGGATAAAATGGAAAATGAATTTCATTTATATCAAAACAGAAGTCGATTCAATTTAACTTTCATGCCAACGATATATGTTGCTTCCGTATTGGATAAACTTGAGAAACATTATTGGCTTGCTGGTGGGGCTTTGCTAGGTAAGATACTATTTATAGGGATTAGTTCTTTTATTTAGTTTTATTTTATATGGAATTATAAGGATGGTATCGTCATTGTGGTTTAATACCATTTACAGATGATGCAGATTTTGGTTTATATGCTGAAGAATATGATGAAAGTATACGCAATTCTTTTCTTGGAAATCCTGTCATTCCTCTTTGGAGTGCATTAGGGCTTGTAAGTAATTAATAATAGTTTTTATAATTTGTAAAACTTTAATTAGGCAAACGATTCACTCGAGTTTCGTCTTTTTACGGGACATTGGACACTCGATCTATTCTGGGCTTATCGTGATGGAGATCATCGATGGTTCGGTTTTCAAATATATAGAACAAAATACAGGTATCTTTCTTTTTCATATACTAAATCAGTTAGTGAAGATAGAAAACGCTTTTTGTTAAATCTGTATTCTAAATTCTATTATAATTTAAATACATACATATCTTATATTTTAGACGTACTCTTCCATTATTGGAAGAACTTTGTTCATGTGATTTATTTGGTCATCGATTTTCCATTCCATGTTCACCTACGGATTATCTCGACGGTGAATATGGAATAGATAAATGGAGAACTCCATTAGAAAAGAACTATAGATGGACTAATATGAAATATCATTCGATGTGGAATGATATATCATGGATGTATGTTGTACGTTTATATACACCTAATGGAAAACTTCGTACGGATAAATTTGCAATTGAATGGGTATCGAACCATTTTAACTATTCTTTCACATCGATTCCATCATTTCTTAATGTTATACCAAATGGACCTGTGACACTTCCGGCATTGAATACCAATCTTATCAATAGTATATCGGCAAAACAAAACAGTTCTCGAAAAATGCCTCAATTAACTATACAACGAGGTCGCCAACAACAAAACGGAACAAGAAGTTGAATAAAAAAAATTATAGTTTCTTTTTTTTCTTCCTCTCATAATCAAAAGAAGAATGTGTTAATATATAAAACGTTATTTTGTTAGAAAGTAAAAATAAGCTTAACTTACCAAAACTGCTTTATCAGTTGATATAGAAAATATTCGA